GGCTCTGACCGGTGGCCACAAAGAAGGCCAGAGCGTGGGCCGCGCTCTTGCGGGCCCTCGGGGGGGTCGTCCGGTCGTAGGGGTGGGTGTTAGCCCAAAAAGTGGGCTGTGCTTCTTGCAGCCCAGGGAACAAACAGGGAAAGCCCTATTTCTCACTTCCGACCTGCCAAAAGCAGTCCAAGCTTTTTATGTACCACGAAAATGGTCCAAGCCCAAAAAAGTGACAAAAGTCCAGGGTGGGTGTCCTTTTGGTTTCCCTTTGAACCAACCCCAAAAAGGGTACCCTTCAAAAAAGACCAGCCACCCAGTTCCTCCATTTGCGTTTTCGTCCCCGGGAGAAAAAAAATGAAAAATATTTCCAGCAGTAAAATCGATTCCCTTTTAAAACCAACAGGGGAAAACAAAAAAACTTAACCAAATGGAAGTTTGGGTGGGCGTTATGGGTATGGGATCCCTGCCATGAGGGGGAGGGGTGGGGGGTCCCTCAATTCCACTTCTCTAGTGGAATGGTCTAAAACCTGCGGTCCATATCCTATATGTTCAATCTTGACCCATACCATCCCCGCCCCCTTGTAAATGGAATTGGGGGAGAGGGAAGACCCTTGGAGATCTCCATTTATGGATCCATGTTCTCCTTTATGGGGAAGATGTACCAGGGCGACCCATTTTGGGCTACTTTGACATGTTTCCCCCAGGGCAAGGTCATTTTGGAGACTACTTTTTGGTTTTTGACCCGCGGCCTTGCAGGGTCCAAAGCCCATGGAGCCGTCTGAGCCGGAAGCTTCGCATGAAGCGATTCAGGGAGACCAAAGGATTCGCTTTGGAGGCAGCCCGGCTTTTCAGGTCGCGAAGCTCTGGAATGCGTATGGGAAAAATGAAAACACATGATAACACATGGCTCCTTTGGACCCCCGGATCAATATTCCGGTAACCTCGTTGGTGGTGTGGATTGGTTTGGAGTCCCTGGTTCCTTGTAGGTAAATCCCAAACTCAGCTCCAAGACGGGCTCCACACCATGGACTTTTATGCTTGTTTCGGTGTCGGGAGCCCGAATGATTCCCTCATGTTCGAGTTCTGGCCTGGTTCGGCTTGACGAAGATCAAGCATCGGAATCTACATAGCGTCAGCTTGATTAAAGGCGTGACAAATCCCAAAAAGATGGGCTCATAACCCAAGGGTAGCCCAACTTAGAAAGGCGAGCCTCAAAAAAAGGGCATGCCCACCAGGGGGGGGCCACCTTTTGAGAGAAAATTGGAGATCCCTCAAAAAGGGATCCTTCACTACAAGGGGGTCGATCATTTTTCTACCACAGGCGGCAAAAAGACCCCCCTGATGCCACTGAGCTCCGAGACTCAAAAAAGGTGGCAGTTCCCCAAGGCCATTGAAACAAACTGCAAAATCGAACGCGCGGGGGCGGGGGGGGTTGGGGTGGTGGGGTGGTGGGGTGGTGGGGTGGTGGGGTGGTGGGGTGGGGGTGAGCTGGGGTGGTGGTGGGGGGTGGTGGGGTGGTGGGTGGGGGGGGGGTATGTTCCTTTTTCCAAGTGCTTTTCTTGCTGGCGCTCAGCAGGGAGTCAGTTGGAATGACCCCGACAAAAACCATCCCCGATTTGGTTTCCTTTCTTGGGAATGTATTCGGGAATCCCCTTCTGGTTCATTCCCAAAACCCGTTTCGGTCATACTGAGCACCAGCAAGTGTTGGCGACTTCTCAGGGAAGAGGACAAGGAGGGATCAATCACGTGGTGTTTGCATTCCAGTTTGACCCCAAACAAGGGATCCATCACGTGGCTAGGCATTCCAGTTGCTTGACTTTAACAAACCAATGGCTACCCAATCACGTGGCGTTTGACCCCAAAAAACCCATGGCTACCCCTCGAGAGCGTCCTCCGGGGAACAACTCCGAAACTTAAGGTGGCTCGTCTACGTTTCGTTCCGTGACCGAAAGGCCAAGTGAGCAGGTGAGGTGTGGTGGAGGTGTGGACATGCCACAAGCAGCCCCGTGTACCGATCACCTTAAGTGAGATTGAAACCGGCACCCAGGCCTGGTATCCAACTGCCGGCCCAAACTTAAACCTGCACAAAGCACACCCAAGAAATCCAAAAAGAGGCGAAACGGTGCAAAACGAAAAGCTGAAGCCTGGCAATGTCAGCCTGCTCGCTCTCACCTTCTGGCTCCTTGAATCCAGCAGGACACAAAACGCGGGATCGCCGCGTTTTGCGCGGAGCCGGATTGCTTCGGAGTCTCGGGCGCGCGCATGTCCAATCCGATGGCGATGAGAACCTTGTAGTTCCCCTGGCGCCAGATGCACAGCTGGAACTGGGGGCCCCTTGGTGCTGTGCTACTTGCTCCCCTGCAAAAAACAGTACCCGAAAGGGGGGTTCCCCAATAGTTTCCTCTACAATCATGGAGTTTGTGTGTTGTATGAAAGCTCATCTGCAGGAGTACCATGTGGGTCGATCCAAAAAACACACGTGCCAGGGTGGCTTAACGCCCAAAATCTGGGCCATTGATGCCGTTGAGAATGCCTAAAGCCCTGACATCCTCCCTCCCTGACAAGGGGAACTCCTTCGCTATGGGTGTTGCCTCAAAGGAATCGGAACCAGAATGGCAGAGTTTCCATTCCTTTGAGCCCACCCAAGGGTTCCGAGCCTCAGACAAAAGACACATGATATATAAGCCATGGTCAAAAAACACCTCGTGTGGACCATGGCTTCCTGAACAGGAATGCGTATCCTGCTGTCTAGAATCCTGACCATCCCCACTGCACACTGCACACGTGGCGGGGGGCGGCTTCGGGGTATGGGATTTGCAAGCATGCAAGATATATGGCCCTTATGTGAGCGGCATAAACTGGCTCAACGCCACCATACCCCTATGCAATGTCCTTCCATGCCTCCAAACCCGTTTCTGAAACGCCCTTGAACAAACAAGGCTTGCAGAAAGACTTTAGGTGTGAACACAATCACTGAATCACATCAGGGGCATATGAGCCACGTCGCGAAACACGAATTGACCAATCACTGAAAGTGTTGACCGACATCTCATTTGCCTCAATTCACTTTTGGGCTAGAAAACTCCTTCCTGTAAAATTCGTGTAAGCAAAGGTAGTTGAAAAAGCACTGTTCAAGGGGGCATCCACATCTATTCTGCAATCCCCAGATTCCTCTACTGCAATGGGGGTTTGCTTGGGGGATCCTTTGAATTCCTTGCGAAGAGAAACACACAATGTCAAGGGCGTTTTCAGGTACGCACGGATTCTGGAAGTCTGGAGCTGACATACTGCTAACACAAGGGTAGAAACTATGTACTCCTTAAACGCTCGTATTGGTAGCATCTAAAATCCATACCTCCGCCTCGGGAGTTCGCGTGTTTGCAGGGAAACCTTGCGAGCGGAAAATCATTTGCTGCAGGAATGCCCAGCGACACTCTCAATCCGAGAGCAATGAACAGGGGCTGTGGGAAGGGCATGTCTCCAAAAATCGGTCGACTTGGAATGGCGAAAATTTCTCAGATACTATGGGTCACTTTGTCCATGTGCTTGACATATCATCTCTGTGGGTTCCCCCAACGGTCCCAAATTTTACTACTCCAAAAGCTGAATCAAGAAGTGGATCCCGATATGGCACTCGAATCGGTGAGCGGGAAGTCTTGAAGACACGCTTCATGTTTGTTGCGGTCATTCACCAAGAGCCACGAAACTAGGAACAATCAAAATCGTGCTTCGTTTCCTTTCAAGTCCATGAAAAAGCCAAAAAAAAAAAAAACATGGCTGGCGCATCGTTTTTGAGGAGTCGGACCCAAAGTGGGATGTTAACTTTGGGTTTCCTGTAAAACAAAAAAACCGAGCAACATGTTCAATTCTTTACTTTCCCATGTCGCGCCATTGGTGTGTGAGTAGACATTGTCCTGCACCTGGGATAGATAAAACTCTATCAATACTGCATGGGATAACCCACCTACAAACTGGTGCAGGTGCAGGTGTGTGTCCATCCGCAGTGCCAAGCCTGCAATTGTTGTTGAGGCAACCCAACCAAGAACAAGCGGGTTAACGCTTTTATCCTAAACCACCCAAAATCAAGCCAAAACTCGAACCAAGCCTAAAGCAACCCTGAACTATCCCTAAACCAACCCTAAACCCTAAACTGACCTCAACCAACCCCGCACCCAAAACCCACCAACCCCAACCAAACCCAAACTCAGCCACCTCGCACGTCAACTCTCTCGCCTGGTCGTCAAAGATGGGCTGCCGCGGCACGAAGAAGGGCTCGCAGGTGGCTGAGGGGTCTTCGCCCACTTCGCCCTGGACCCGGGACAGGGACTGGAAGTCCTGGCGAAAATCGCTCGGACCCGCTCGAGAATTTTGGGTCGACCCGCCAACCCGCGCCCCCCGCCGGAAAAAAGAAGAAGTAAAAACCCGCAAACAAAACGGTCGACCTCAAAAGCAATAAACATCCACACACAACCAAAAAAAGTGTTCGTTCGTTGTCCAGCCGGACCCCCAAAAAAACCCGGATCGAAGTGGAATCTATATGTATGCATAGGAGGCTGTTCTCTGAAAGTGGTCTAAGAGCCTGAGAAGCTTGCCAATAGGAAAGCCTGGCCTTGCGTGCAGTCGAAGGTCGCTCCCCAAAAGGCTTGATCGCCAGGGATTGCAAGCCTGGCCAAGATTTGCCCCAACAGACTGCCCATGGAAAAACCGGGAGTTCAAGAAGGGCCTTTTGTTGGAGTTGTTTCCCTTCCCAGATGGTGCTTCACTCTTCCCTGCCTTTGGAGGGGCTTCCTCTTTTGGGTTGGGCCAAAAGTAAACCCAGGAGTTGAGTGCCCTGACAAGAAGATGAACTAGGGTTTCTCCGCACGCCGGGTGTTTCTGCAGCCGAAACATCGAGGCTTCAAGACTGACAACCGAAAGCCCTTGCCAAAAGGGCTCGATGTCCCATTCACGTGTGTGTCTTGTTTCAAACATCATGGAGACCTACTACGGCTATTACGGCTATGGTGGGGGGGGAGCTATCACTGGATAAGCCAGGGACAAGTTCCTGGCATGAGCCCTTAAGGCCTTACTAAGGGGGCCTTTTTTTCGGGGGCCATGAAAATCACTTGGGCGGTTTCACCGCCAGGTCAAACCCATAGACCCCCAGTGGCTCTCGGTAATGTCTGTCAACTCCGGGGTTTGATGTGGATCGGGGAATTTGTCGGGTTCTTGGGAGGTGAGCGGCGATCCAGAGAAGAAACCAGAAATCATAAAATGGAAAACTGCATTATAAATGAATTGACAAGATGACTATAACGAAATCAAGGTCTAGACGTCTAGACATGTATTGGTTTCTTGTTGTATGTTTGCTTGTTATCTCTATTTATGCCATTTTGATATGCTTCTTTCAGTATGTGCCTTCTCTTAGTTTCATTTATTGGCCCTTACGAACTTTGTCTTATTCAATGTGGACATCCCGCATTCATCAAGCGGGTGCTCATTAGTGGCTCTCCAGCACAGGGTGTCCCATGTTCCCCTTCAAACGACTCGCCTTGGCCCAACAAGTCATGCCACGAACGAGCAAACGAGGACATCTGCTCAAATTGCGATTCGCAAGCCGCAAGAAAGAAAATCCCCCAAGTACGGGACAAGGAAACATGGGGTCAAATCCCTCGTACCCCCGGATTAACGACGGGATCGACCAACACGGGTCCGGGTTCAAGGCCGCATGGCATCCGTCTCGCGCATCCCACGTCTTCCCTCGAAGGCCACAGAATTTGGTCCTCCAGCGGGGTCAGCGAGCGCGTGGACGCCGGCACTTTGGCGGCATAGGTGCGCAACGCCTGCCCAGGGTTCGCTTAAATGAGACCTGCGCAAACGTCTCACTTGAGTTAAACATCGGCCCAGGCCAACCCTTGGCCCACTGAGAAGCTCCGGCTGCAAAAGTGGCTTTCCGGCGGAAAGAAACCAAACACGAAGCGGAGCCATGTCCGAATCAAAAGCTCCAGGTCTTCTACATCTGTATGGCCATGGGTCAAAACCCCGTACCTCCAGTGAACATCCCAATCCCCACTAACATAGGTTCTAGAATGGGTGGTGAATTCACCTACCAACCAAAATGGGATCCCCAAACGGTTTTGACCACCACAGCCATATATGTTCCAACCTTGAGTTTACAGAACTGGGCGTCCCGAAAAAAATATCGTTGGGTGTCCTTTCGGTGCCCCTTCAAACAAATCCGAAACCAAGGTGTACGCCTTCCATTTGGGTAAGGCCCCAGGGAAAAATGAGAAAAAAATGTCCAGTGATGAATTCATTTTAGAACCAACAAGGGGAAAAAAAAAACATATTCTTAAGCAAATGGAGGACACTTGGTGGTTTCTTGATGCCTTGCGAAGAGCCTTTTGGGTCAGAGATGTCTCTCGTAGATCCCCCTAAAATCTAGTTTTTGGCTGAGATTCCTTTCGTCTTCAAAACCATCCCAAAGAAAAAGTGTCCAAGCAAGCTCCCTCCCTTCCTTCCTCCCTTCCTCCCTCCCCTTCCTCCCCTCTGTCTGTCTCTCTCTCTCTCTCTCTCTCTCCCTCTCCCTCTCCCTCTCTCTCTCTCTCTCTCTCTCTCTTTCTCTCTCTCTTTCTCTCTCTCTCGCTCTCTTTCTCGCTTTTCCCTCTTTCGCAAACTCCGCCTCGCGGGTGGAGATGTCCCCGCAGAGATCCAGCGGCGTGGCCCCCCGCTTGTTGTGCGAGTGGGGGTTGCCCTGGGCCTGGCGGAAGACGCGACCGGCGCGGTTCCGAAAAATCCCGTTGGCCACGAAATGAAACCAGGGAATGAAACCAAGGGGAACCATTCTGGGGTTCCTGATTTAGCACCATACTGTGGATGGACGAAATCCTGCACCACCTAAGAAACCACGGGAAACCACTGTTTGTTGGTATTTACAGGGGAATCATATCAGACACCAGGGTTTCTGAACGGTGGTGCAGGATTTCGTCCATCCGCAGTACCACAGTACGGAAGGGAGTTGCATGCCAGCAAGTGGAAACTGATCAATCTGCATAAGTTGCGGGCCAAGGGATTTGCTAAAGTTTTTCAGGTTGTTGGGGGGGGGGGGGGGGGCAAAACCAAATCCAAACCACCAATCCAAACCACCAATTGCGGGTTACCTGACACTGGATGTGATTTTGGTGGGGATCGTGACTAGACTTGATTTTAAAAGCACCTCAAAACTATATTCTAATCTCAGTTGCCCAAAGGACACAGAAATATCAGGTGATCACCTTTTGGGTCCACTAAAAATGGGAACCCAACAAGGAAACACCAAATTTGGGTCATTCCGATCGGTCGATTCGCCCTGGTTGCAAGTGACACTCAGCGACGTAAGCATCATCTTTCTATTACAACCAGCACTGTATCCCGGTCCATCGAATGGATACAAACAGCTCGCCCTTGAGGGTTTGTTTGGAAGCCGCCGAAGTGGCGCCCTTGCATTTTTTTGCTTGCAAGCATGGCCCCCAACAAACTTGTGCCCGTCTCCTGTTCGGACCCCCAAGGCTCCAGGTTCCGGGGGGCGACAAAAGAAAAGAAAAAAAAGAAAAGAAAACAAAACAGACCAGAAGTACCATCGAAGCTTCAGCCGCTCCAATCCTTTGGTGAACCTCGGGCTCGTCGCTCGCCTCCTTCCCGGAACCAAAAAAAAGCGGCGCCCGGAGCTCGGCCAGGCGCACCCCTCCGACCCGACGGCGCCTGGAGGAGCAGCAGGGTCAGCTCTCTGCCTGGTGCGGTTTCGACCGGTTTCGGCCGGGGGGCGTTTCGGTTCGGTTTTTCGGGGACACCAAGGAGCAGACAGAAAAAAACACCCCCCGAGCAACAAAAAAAAGAAGGAAAAGAAGGAAGGAAAACACAAACGGTCCAGGTTTGGAGGAACCTGGTGTATTTGATCAGAGACAACGCCTGGTTCTTTTCCCCAGAGCTCTGTATAAGTACCTTGGGCATGTCCCTGTAGCCACATAGCCACTATGGTAAGCTTATTTGATCAGAGCCATGCCAACTGGTTGTACCTGAGAGCCTGTACATCAAGTATCCGCCTTGCACAGCACGTGCCCATTGCCTACTTGCAACCAAACAGAGAAGGTGATGTGGCTGTGGCTCAAAAAAACCGGTTCCAAATTGAAACCCTGGTGGACACATGGGTACCAAAACCTGCGTAACCCCCCGTGTTTCATTTTGAGCCACAGCCATGTTATACAACTCTACCCAAGCGCCTCGGCGCAGCTCTTTGGGTCTAACCCCTTAAGGGGCTTGCAGGGTCTTTGGGTCTTTGCGTCTTTGGGGGTTGCAGTCTTTGGGTCTTTGGGGGTAGGGTTTGAGAAACAGAGATCTTCTAAAACTGCAACGGTTGGATTGTCCAAGCAGGGAAATACAAGGAGCTCCGTGCATATCCAACGGTTTTGGAATAGATCAATAGGATGTGCAGTCATGATCCTTTCCCTTTAAAATCATTAGTGGGGAATAACAACTCAACTGAGCAAATTGAATAATGTGTCCATAGGGGGTACCCCCCTCCAACTAACATAGCACCAGACATGGGGTCCCTTGAAGAGAAAGCCAATCTTCCAGGTACCCTCCCAGAGGTGCCATGTTAGTGGAAGGGAGGGTAGCACCGTTAAACCTTTATAAACATAACCCAAACTCTGATTGCTGTGGTTGCCTTTCGGGGACAACTCGCTGCATGGGTGTGTTGGAGTTCCGCTGCGTTCAAACTCTATATTAACAAGAAGTCGGCAAACACTGTGTGCCTTTGGGCGACCCCTTTGATGTTATTTCATACTTTGAAGGAGTACCAGTCACAGCCTTTTTCTGCATCACCAACGGCAACATCATGCGACCCTCGTTCGGGGCTGCGGGGCACAGGTTCCACTCTGTACATCGATTTGGGGACGAGCTCTAGATTTCAACGAAGCGTGGTTGAAGGCAGGAACACGATGTTTCAACAACCCTTTTTCTCCAAAATTCCCGACCTGCTTTTGTTGACACACATTTTTGGTCACGGTTGCGCCAGTCGCCTGGTGTTTTCGGAGCCGTCACTGTCAAAAACGTTGGGTTTTTCCTCATTTCGCTCGCAGCATGCGCTGCAACATGTAGCCAAATGAACCCAGGGATCTCGCCCGATCGAAACCCGCTGTTTTTCGAGCCGCAACGCTGTCCGGAACCGCCATTCAACCAAATGCAACATACTCGAAGCTGCAAAAGTGATCATGTCCCATCTGACTCCAACTGGAAGACGCAGCCTTCAAAGGCAAACATATTCCAATCCCAGTCACGGAGTTGGGAATGGTCGTGCTTACCAATCAGCTGCAGCCTTTAAGAGCAGCCTTCACAAGCTCGTTCTCGAATCCAAGTCACGGAGTTAAGAATGGTCACTCTTGCCAATGAGCTGCAACCTTCAAAGGCACAGCTTTCTATCCAGATCACGGAGTCGGGAATGGTCACGCTTGCCAATAAGCTGCAGCCTTCAAAGGCACGGAATCCAATCCTGGTCACGGAGTTGGGAATGGTCACGCTTACCAATGAGCTGCAACCTTCGAAGGCAGAGTTTTGTATCCGGATCACGGCGTTGGGAATGGTCACACTTGCCAATGAGCTGCAACCTTCAAAGGCACCTGGTTCAATCTCAGTCACAGCGTTGGGAATGGTCACGCTCACCAATGAGCTGCAGCCTTTAAAAGCTTGTTGTCCAAAAAACATCACTGAGTTGGGAATGGTCACGCTTACCAATGAGCTGCAACCTTCAAAGGCAGAGTCTTGTATCCGGATCACGGAGTTGGGAATGGTCACACTTGCCAATGAGCTGCAACCTTCAAAGGCACCAAATCGTACAAAAGTCACTAACTTGGAGGCATCATCCTTGTTTGCAATCACGTCTCCGGGAATTTCCACCACGCGCAAGTCTTCCACCTCGCAGCAGGAATCTTTTGAAACTTGAGCATACTACCGGCTGGATGCTGAGGAAAGCCAAGACTTCTGCACCTGGAATGACCTCTGACACTAGCTCCTCTTTGTTCAATAGGGGCCTGTCCCCAACAACCACCTCCACCGAGCTCATGTTGCGCTCTGATTCATCTTCGCAAGGCAGCCACGCGTGCAGCTGCCTTTTGAACTCGCGGACGGTCATGTCAGTCGACAATTGAAACAGGTCGGATTTCCCACACAGCCGTCGCACTGAAATCTCCCTTGCCATGGCTAACTTCTTGGCACGCTACCGAGGTGAATAACCTTATTCTGCGCCCAAGAAAGTAGCAGTGGCTGGCAAACGGTGAAATGATCACCTCTCACGATCTTACTTACCCGGCAGAAACATGTACTTGAAGTCATGGATGGTCGTGTGGGTGGACACTACGAATGAGTCTTCCTTTCCAGACAGCTGTCGCACAGTATTCTGGCTTGCCATGGCATCCGTTCGGCTAGTGCTCCAAACATGCGGTTTCCTTTGGTTCCCCTCTAAACCAACCCCAAAAAGTGTACCCTGAAAAAGTACCTTTCAACTGGGGTGGGTTGTTGGAAACATGGCCAGCCCCTTTCGGGGAGAGACTCCTTTCTGTGCGCAGAATGATGGGTACGCAGAAGAAAACAAAGTCAACTCTACTTCACTATCATTGGATGCTCCACCCACTAAGCAAGTAGGTTGTATTGATGATTGAGAGGGAACTAACCTCCGTTTGCCTCAGATATGACCGTGGCCGTAACCTACTTGCGGAGTATACTCAACATCCACCGGGGGCGGCGCCCAAAAGGGGAAGAACTGCAACTAGACTCCAGCTTGAAAGCATAAAAAAGGTCGGTCCAAATCAAAGGGCATGAAGAACAACATGGCCTCCCAACATGAACGTGCACAGGATGCCTTCCAGAAGCATCGTCTTTGATGAATGGTAGGAAGGAACTCCATCTTCAAGGGCAAATGCTCATTGCCAAAATACAAACCAGAAAGCAACACCCACTTTTCTATTGTCCAAATATCCCCCCCTTGTGGGGGTCTTTTTTGTGGAATCGGACCCCGCCCTCCCAAACTAAATAAAGAGTGCTGGTTCTCCTTTTGGTCCCCAAGAAAACAAAGAGCACCTCACCCAAAAAAACAAAAGCCGACCGACCCATCCGCCGGTTTTGGGGACCCTTTAGCTTTGAGCTCCTTCTCTGAAAAGCTTGCAGGTTGCAACCCTAAGGAGACACTTCCTCATCGGCCTTTTGGACATGCACAGTTGGCCTTTTGAAGAAAAACACATGGCAGTGGCAACCAAAAAAAAAACGGAATTCCAGAAAATGGCTTGCCCTGGCAAGTGGAAACCTGGGTACCAAAACCCGCACTTTGCCCCCTGCTCTTTCATTTTGCGCCATACCCATGGCCCCACGGCCAGAAAATCGATCCAAACCATGGGCGCAACTCACCCACAAGCTTGGCTGGAAGAAGAGGACCCCAGCAAAATATATATATATATATATATTGATATTTTGCCTGGTGAGTGGCAAAGGGGACCCCCAAAAAAGCAAAAAAACAAAAAGGCAAAAGGGGGAACGAGTTCTGGGGAAGCAAGGAGACCGGGACCGTAGTTGCCCCTTATTCCGCATCCGATTCTTCGGTGATTTCGGGTCTGTTTACACCAGGTCGAGTGGGAGGATGACGGGCTGGGTCGAGAACTTGCATGGTTCCACTGATGGTTCAGAGGTTGGGTGTTTCTCATTTTGCTGACCGAGAACCAGCAATTCAATTCCCCAAACAGTCGTCGGCAACCTGAATGACATATTCAAGGTTTAAAAAATACTTCACAGGGAGGAGCGAGTCAGACATCTCAAAGGGGCATAGCAACGGAGAATTAGATCTCTTTTTCCAACACGAAATGGATCGGTCCACCAACTAACCACTCAGACTCAGAGCCCTAAGAACCTTTCAGCCCCCCGCCCTTTCAAAGGGGTCAAAGGGGGGGGCCTTTGGTTTTGTAAGTCCGGCCGCCAAGTCTTGGCTGATTGGCTCACATCCTACGTCTTTTTCACATACTGCCTCTCAGTGGCTTTCTGCTCCCCTGCTAAAAGCTTAACTTTTAGTGGTTTAATACGGAGAACCTCGTGCCCAAAGAACAAATGGCCACGCTCAAAAACCTGCAACATTGTACCTCGGTAAATAGAACCAACGCCTAAAACCTTCGTAACCCTAGCCCTCCATTTGCGTTTTCGTCCCCTGGAAAAAAATGAGAAAAAAAATGTAGTAGTGATAGATTCCCTTTGAAACCAACAGGGGAAAATAACAAAATATTATTAACCAAATGGAGGTAGCTCTTTCATTTTGAGCCACGCCCAAAGGGACGTCAAGAACTGCGTTTCGCAATTGGTTAGACGACCGCAAGTAGGGAGCTCCCCAGCCCCAAAGAACCTTCTTACAAGCGGTTGAAACCATAACGTGCGTTGATATTTACTTTCAGGGCTTCTTAGGTGGTGCGAAAGGGATTTCGCGACCATCCACAGAATGGGGATGCATTTTAACTGCTTGGACCCGACATGAATATCAAAATTCGCTGGAGATCTGTGTCAAACTTACGGGGTTCCGACAATTTCAAAACTAGCCAAAAAGAAAAAGGGGAACACCTACAAAAAGACACCATATTCAAAGCTTCAAAGACTGAACAGGCTTTAACGGTCAGATACCCCAATTGGTTTTCAGCCAACCAGTGGGCCTGAAATTGGAAGTGGGCGCGAGCCACCAGGCGCGCACGCGCGGTCTTGCGGTCTCGGGCCCGCACGACCCATCACGGCCGCCACGTGCAAAGGCCTCGAAAAATGAAGCGAATTCGAAGTATCCGCTTCGGGTTCGCTGGGCGAGCTATGCTTAAAGTGATTTGACCAAAGTCACCAAAGTGACTTGAAGGAAACCAAAAAAAAAGAGACCCCCCAAACAAGACAGAGCCAGAATGGAAACCCCAGAAGCAGAAACCCTGGCTAATTTTGAGAGACGGTGCTGTCCCCTCAGGGATTCAGACCAATTTTGGAGGGGGCCCCACCCCCCTAAAAGGATGGGTCTAGGATATCCGGGCTTAACCTTCGGGGTCGGTAATTCCAACTCATTCCCTGACTGGGCTGTCCGTCCCCTGCTAAAAGTATTTAACGTTTCGTGGGTTAACTCCGGAAACCCAGCCACCTCTCACCAACTAAAAGCCAACAAAACCCTTCAGGGAAAAACAAACCACCAAGGAATGGAGAGTTTAGGATTCCTCAAATCCGCAAATATAAGGCACGGAGGGACCCGGGAATGAAACCGAGGAAACCTCGGTTGCTTTCTGCTCCCCTGCTGAAAGTTTTTAACTTTTAGTGGTTTAATACGGAAAACCCATTCGTTGGCCAAAAGTTGTTCAGTCCTAGCATCCCTTGGCAAAATTCGTACCAAAGAAAAAATCCGCGCCCAAATCGAGGCCAAGTCACGTCCAGCCAGCGGAGTCGGAGGCATCCAGCGGCAGCCCACGCTTCAGCAGCTCCTGGGCAGGGAAGGTGGGGTGGGGGGGGGAGGTGGGGTGGGGGGGGAGGTGGGGTGGGGGCGTGGTTGGGGGGGGGGGGCTGGGGGGGGGGTGTGGTTGGGGACCTTGTTGTAGGCATTTGGTTGTAGGGATGTTCGTCAGCCTTTTTTAGGTGTTGATTGTTTTAGGGGTAACATAAGCGCCGTTCGATACATTGGAACTTGAGGTAATACAACGAATGGCTTCAGCACCTGAAATTACTCCCGTTTCTGGTAAAGCCTAAGGGAAATGGGCCATTTTTGCGCAAGTTGAGTGAATGCTCTGTCGAGCTTTGGTTCTGATCTTTAGCCTCCTCCGGGGTTTGGGCTTGAAGGGAAACAAAAAAAACGCCCTCGTTGCAACCCCCAAACCATGTCTAGGTCCTCCAGATTTGAGAGGTTCGAACAAGGGTACCTTTTTTTTCCGGTAGTCTATTTTAGTAGAAAATCCCTGCCCCAGAAAAGGGGAAAAGGGCACCACTGGGGGACCTAGATGTGGTACTGTGGATGGGTCCTCAAAATCCGCTTCTCGCACCACGAAATGATGGTTGAAGCCATAAGGTTTGTGGGGATGTACAGGGGAATCCTATCAAACACCAGGGTTTCCCCAGCGGTGCGGGATTTCGTCCATCACCAGTAGCAATGGCCTCCCCTTTTCTGGAGCTTCATGGTTACCCACTTTCAAGGTTGCTTGAAAGAGAAATCAAAGGGAAATCCCCCGCCCAGTTTGGAGGTTCCCGTGCTTTGACACCCTATATCCCCAAAACAACATGATTCTCGATTATGTTCAATCATCGTTCTTTTTCAAAACCGATCGCTGTATCCAACCTGGGGTCTTGATCTGGTTTCCTGAAAGATTCGGATCCCTGGAAAGAATGGTTGGAAGCTCCTCTCGACGTGGTTGCCGTTGACCCCTCTGCAAAAAGTGATTCAGTTTTGGTGGAGTCAATGGAAAACCCAAAAGATGTCAACCAAAAGGTCAAGATCCAATTCCAAGCCAATAGCAATCAAGTAGAAGGTTACTAACCACCTACCAAACCAATGATGCAGGGGCGTGGTGGGGGTGGGGGTGGTTAGCAGTATTGCCTTGGTTTTGTGAAATTGTGTTTAGTTTGGGTTGCAAACATTCTGAACCCAGGCAGGGATCCCAATCTTTTCAGGAAACCGGATCAAAAGATCCGGGTAACCCGGCGGATTCGCGGCGAGCTCCCGCTGGCGTAATTTTTGACTGCGACTTGGGTGTTCGAGTTGCTGGGTCTATAGGGAGGGCGCGAGAAATGGCTCATGACCCAAGAAAACCGAATCCTAATTGGTGGTTTTATGTATAAGGGAACCCCCTTCACACACACACAGTCACAGGCACAGACACAGACACAGACACAGACACAAACACAGAGACACAGCACAGAGACACAGAGACACAGAGACACAGAGACACAGAGACACAGAGACACAGACACACAGACACACACACACAGACACACACCGAGACACACAGAGACACACAGAGACACACACAGAGACACACACACACACAGAGACACACACAGAGAGACACACACACACACAGAGACACGAACAGAGACACACACACACACACAGAGACACACACACACACACAGAGACACACACACACACACAGAGACACACACACACACACACACACAGACACACACACACACAGAGACACACGGAGAGACACACACAGAGACACACACACACACACAGAGACACACACAGAGACACACACAGAGACACACACAGAGACAAACAGAGACACACGCACAGAGACGCGCAGAGATGCACAGAGACGCGCAGAGATGCGCAGAGACGCGCGGAGACGCGCGGAGACGCGCAGAGACACGCAGAGACGCGCAGAGACGCGCAGAGACGCGCAGAGACGCGCAGAGACGCGCACAGGCGCGCACAGACGCGCACAGACGCGCACAGACGCGCACAGACGCGCACAGAAGCGCACAGACGGGCATGGACACGCACAGAGACGTAGGGACGCACAGAGATGCACAAAGACGCACAGAAACGCACAGAGACGTGCACACACACACACACACACCCACACGCACACGCACACGCACACGCACACGCACACGCAGACGCAGACGCAGACGCAGACGCAGACGCAGACGCAGACGCAGACGCAGACGCAGACGCAGACGCAGACGCAGACGCAGACGCAGAGCAGACGCAGACGCAGACGCAGACGCAGACGCAGACGCAGACGCAGACGCAGACGCAGACGCAGACGCAGACGCAGACGCAGACGCAGACGCAGACGCAGACGCAGACGCAGACGCAGACGCAGACGCACGCACACGCACACGCACATGCATACGCACACGAACGCGGCACGCACGCACGCACGCACGCACGATCGCACGCACGCAGGCACCCACCCCCACCCCCACCCACACCCACTCCCACACCCACACCCACACGCACACGCACGCACACGCACGCGCACGCACGCGCACCCGCACCAACACCCACACCCACACCCACACCCACACCCACACCCACACCCACACGCACAGCCACACACACTCGCACCCGCACACGCACACGTACACGCGCACACGCACAACCACACGCACACCCACACGCACACGCACAAGCACACGCACACGCACACGCACACGCACACGCACACGCACACGCACACGCACACGCACACGCACACGCACATGCACACCCACACGCACACCCACACGCACACGCACACGCACACGCACACGCACACCCACACTCGCACGCACACGCGCACGCACACCCACACCCACACTCACACGCACAGGCACACGCACACGCACACGCACACGCACACGCACACGCACACGCACACGCACACCCACACACACACGCACACGCACACGCACACCCACACACACACGCACACGCACACGCACACCCACACACACACACACACGCACGCACGCACGCACGCACGCACGCACGCACGCACGCACGCACGCACGCACGCACGCACGCACGCACGCACGCACGCACGCACGCACGCACGCACGCACGCACGCACGCACGCACGCGCGCACACGCACACGCACACGCAGACGCAGACGCAGACGCAGACGCAGACGCAGACGCAGACGCAGTCGCAGTCGCAGACGCACGCGCACGCGCGCACGCACACGCACACGCGCCCTCACACGCACAGATACGCACACGCGCAGCGCCGCAAAGATCCGCCTGGGCCATGAGGAAGCTCCCGCTGCGGCAGGCGCTATGCAGCATGGTGGTGCCATTCCGATCCCTCGCCTTCATTGATCCGACCGATCCAATGGCTCGTGGCTCGGGGTCTTTGTTTTTGGTCGATCCATCGATGTCTCTGGTTCGGGCGCCCGATGTTTAACCGGGGGGGGGGGTGTTTTTGTTGCAGTTCCTGTGTTTTTTTGTTTTTGTTGGTGTTGTTGTGTGTTGTGTGTGTGTGTGTTCTTTTTGGGGGGGTACGTGTTTTCTGAGAAAGCCAAGGGAAACCAAAGCCATGTTGGGATCCGCTTTTCCAATTTCTAGAAAAAGACACACACACACACACTTGTCAGTGCTTTTCTGGGTCAAGCAAAGGGCAATCAAAAGGAAGTCACCATTTGGGACGGATTTGAGTGGTTGGACACTTTGGTGGACAGCACTTGGGCGATTCATGTCCACCAACCACTTTGCTCGTTTCATGCGGCTAAGCCGAGAGGGATTGTGCAGTCTTCTGTCCCCCAACTGTAGTCCGCAGGCTATAACATGCTATAACCTTGGTTATATATTTTTGCTGAATGGGGTTGCCCTTCCACCCTTGTTAACATGGTCCCTTTCCTTTGCAGGACAGCCCGAACGTCAGAGAACCATGTTAAAAGAATTGGCTGGAGGGTAAATGGTTCTTGGCTCCTCTTGGTCTTTCTCACCTGCGACGCTTCTAGAGAACTAACGCTAAGCATAAGACAAATATTGACAAATACTGCCTTTGGTCCACAACACATTTTTGATATTCCATGGAGAGCCACCCATCAAGCATCATGTCTGGGAGGGGCTTGCCTTGCGTGCTGGGACTCCTTCCGGAACGCCAGGTATCTAAGCCAGGGCAGCAAAGCCGCTCTGAAGCAGGACATGGATGCCTGGACGACCAACTCAACATCAGTCTCCTCCTCCCCCCCTGCGTTCGAAGAAGCCCACAATGTACTCCTCGTACAGCGTCTTGTAAGTTTTCCACTGCGTAAACCTTCGCTCACGCCCTTCCTTGCGCGCTGGGGACATGGCGATCACACAGCAAGGTGTCCTGGAAGCAGCTCCTCGTTGAACCAATGGGCGGTGTCTGGTCCGCGCAGTGGGTCGAAAGAAAAAGCACATTTTTCTAAGGCAGGTCGGTAGGGGTAAGGATCGGGGCGGCACCCCTTAGGATTGCTGGGAGGGCCTCACTCCAAGGCAAATCCGAAAGCCGCGGAAAGCCTTTACAAGAGGCTTGAAGGTTCTCTTTTTTGTTGGGTGGATTGTTGGAGTTTCCCTGTGGAACCACCAACACAAATGAGTACCAACTCCACAAACCAGCCAAGGAGCCGTTTGAGACCCAACTCAACAAGACTCAACCTGTGGTCCTTCAAAGGCGAAACGCTGGGCTGGCATCAAATTCCCCTTGCTTGGTGGTTTTAAATGGAGAAAAAAAAAAAAAAGGAAAACTTATGCGCCATTTTGGTGGTTCCCTGAAAAAGATCCACCCAAATTTGGTGGACGTTCTTTTGGTTAGTACCTTCTTCAGTTTCCCTCTCATTGGTTTGGAGGTTAGGAGGTGGTTCCACATCCCTCCACAAAAGCCAGGAGGACCAACTCACCACGCAACCCACGCAAACCAGTGCAAACCCACACAAACCGGTCCCAGAACTTGCATCCCAAATCTGTTGCATTGTGCTTCCATGGTCTTTATGCGCTGCTCGTCTTTGGAGTTGGCGCCCCGTCTCTTTGGTGAAAAAACGACACGCCATCCTCTATGAGTGTGTCTCGACAGGTGAAGCCAGCTCCACAAAGAAAATGCAAAAAGGAAAGCAACCCACTGTCAACCTTCAATGTCCCCTGTCCGAATTTCTAAACTTCCATTTAAAACCAAAAAAAACGCCAAATCCCCACCTTCCCCAACCTCCCACCTCCCACCTCCCACCTCCCACCTCCCCCCCCCCTTCGTCGGCCTTGGCGTTGGCGCCCAGCACCATGAGCCACCGCAGCGCCACCAAGTTGGAGGTGCCCGCGAAGAGCAAGCCCTCGCCAAGCGACAAGCCGCGACGGCTTTGGCGTTCCGGCACTCGGCTCGGTTTTTTTGGTTCTGCGGAGGGGGGGTGGGGGGGTGGGGAGGGGGGAGGTAGGGCAAGGGAAGGGGGGTGGAAGGGGGTGCATCAACCACGCTTCACAACAGCTTTCCTCGAAAGTATTTCTCTTCACTGCGGCTGTTATTGAAATCTGGTCGTGAAAGGTACCCCCCTTGTGTTTTTTTGTTCTTGGGGGGGTTGAGAGAATCCAGGGTTCCACTTTTTGACTGCCCAGACTTCAACCCATGGCGCCGCTTGTCGGCGATTCGCTGCTACAGGTGAATGTGACATGGAATGAACGGGATTCTTTGGTGCCCGGAAAAAAGAAACCACCATTCCCTCAATTCCTGCTGAGAACCAACAAGCTTTTTCAGGGTATGAGGGAAGGTGGAATCTTCCCAAAACGCACTAAAAAGAGGCGCGGGGGATGCAGGTCATGCAGGTGATGCAGGGATGCAGGTGATGCAGGAGATGCAGGAGATGCAGGTGATGCACGTGATGCAGGAGATGCAGGTGATGCAGGTGATGCAGGAGATGCAGGTGATGCCAGGGATGTTGTTGTGATGCGGGCATGTTGGCAATCCGAGCGATGTTGGCAATGCTGGTGTTGCTCCGACTTTGGCAAAAAAGCGAGTGCGAGACTTCTTTTCGAAGCTGCTCTGGTTGTTGTTGGCGATGCTGGTTGGACTCGGATGTTGACGGATACTGCTGCAGTCCGACGTCCAACCGGAAGACTCGGGGAGTACAAGGAGACTCGAAACTGTTGAAAGCGAAAAAGGAAAACCACATTTCGTTCCAACCAAAAACTATGCACCCAAGAAACCCACAAACAGAATTGGCCTTGGCAAAAGGTGTCTAGAACCACCACAAAACAAAACTTCTTGGTGCCTAAGCTGAGAGAGTACGCCGCTGGATTGTAACGACAATGTCAAGGATCAAGGGTATTTTTCAGGTGGTATGCAGGTATATTTGTATGTTTCTATACACACATGTATACCAGTTATGTAAGGTAGCAGGTACGTATACGAATACATATGTGTATGTACCACTTATGTAAGGCGTGTTTACCTAGCTTACATTGGTGGTATACAAGCAGCCAGACCTCCAAAATCCACACCTGAGCATTGTCTTGATGCTGATGCTCATGAATGCTAGAGATGGAGTGATGGGGATGTTGGTGATGTTGACTTGCTGAAAAAGGGTCCCTCAAAAAGGGATTCACCAAACAGAACCTAGTAGATCCAGTTACCTGTCTACTTGGTAACCAAGGGAAGGCTCTCAACTACTCAACTACCCACCCCCCGTCACCTACCTACCCCCCTTCCGCTTGAGGAATTCCATAAAAACGGAGAAAATCCGAAGAGCAAGAAGCACCCAATGTTTTGAATTTGCTGCGGTTTTGTCGTCCAAAAAGATGCGAGCACTTGAAGTTCAAACCAAAGATCAACCAAGCGCAAGTTTATATGGTTAAGCGCTCAACCTTTTCTGTGACAACATGGACCATTCCCGTCACACATCCTGATTGGACTAGCCGAACTCTAAACTCTTTGTCACTAAAATGGCTGGTCAAAACCCTGTACCCCTGGTGAACATCAAAATAGGTACATGGGTGTTCCGCCCCAAAATGGAGAAATGCATAGGTGATGCAACCCATGGCCAAGTGGGTTTCCCAACACGTGAAGAGTCCATAGACTTGGAGCGCGCTCACTACAACCCCCTTCCAGTCCTATCAAAAGAAACCCTTTTTTTTGCGGGTTCCGTCTGGGGAGTAAAACGCCTCATGTTCCGCAACCCGTCTACTTCCCAAACCAGAGATAAGCTGGAAATGGGTATGCCTCAAACAACCGGAATTCCAAAATGGAACCCTGGTAAGTGGAAACATGGACCAAAACCTGCGTAACCCTAGCTCTTTAATTTTGAGCCACTGCCAAATAAGTGGCCTTCGTCATGGCCCAAACCAAAGATAAGGGAGCTCCAAATACATGGCCTTGGGAAAGATGCGCGTGGATGAAAAACTATTGAAACCCCTTTGCAACTTAAAGCTCGAAAACAAACACCTACTGTGGATGGATGAAATATTGCACCACTTCGAAACCATGGGAAGCCATAATTTGTTGTTATTTACAGGAGAATCATCCTTCCAGGGTTTCTTTGGTGGTGCAGGATTTTGTCCATCCACAGTAGGTCCTCCAGTAGAGAGGTTAGAACGAGGGTACCAACTTTTTTCTGTAGTCTATTTTAGTAGGGGGAAAAAAAGGGGTAAAAGAGCACTACTGGGGGACCTGGACAACACATTTTTCCCCACCACCCGGACCCCACCCAAGGCCGCCTCTTGATCACGCGGGGGCAGCCCATGCAGCGTCTCCTGAAAGACTGTGCCGGCCGGATCGCACCTCAGCGAGGTGAGAAGTCGATGTCCCGAATCGACGATTCGCCCCTTTCGCAGAGCTTGTGACTCATATCTAGGTCCGCCAGTAGAGAGGCTAGAATAAGAGCACCCACTTTTTTCTTGTCTGTCTAGTTTAGTAGGGGAACCCTCCCCCAAAAAAGGGGGTGAGAAAGGCCACCTAGCTGGGGGGACCTTTGTTTTGGTGATCGATCGAAGGTCCGGACTTGGGATGTCCCACATGGGATGAGTGGTCCCTGGTCAAAACTGGGGGGCCCTACACGGACATATTGATCAACCTGATGAGTGTGGCTCATTTGTTCGAGGGTGCCCTTCTTACCTTAAGTCCTATATATATATATATGTATGTATGTACGTATGTATGTATGTATGGATGCATGCATGCCTGCCTGCCTGCCTGCCTGCCTGCCTGCCTGCCTGCCTGCCTGCCTGCATGCATGCATGCATGCAATGCATGCATGCATGCATGCATGCATGCATGCATGTATGTATGTATGTATGTATGTATGTATGTGTGTGTATGTATGTATGTATGTATGTATGTATGTATGTATGTATGTATGTATGTGTGTATGTGTGTATGTGTGTATGTGTGTATGTGTGTATGTGTGTA